AACCAATATTGCCATATGATTAAGTGATGGGAATGGCTTAGCGATTGGGAGACACCAAGGCCAGTACTTCAAAAGGTATTTAAAATTGGACATGAGATTGGTAAGTGATTTCAGTAGATAAATCAAATCGGCGTTGACCGAATCTGACAAACGGTAAGATCAGTCCATCATAACTAATCTAAATGACCAGAAATGGTCACATATTTACATAAGTAAAAGATGTGCGGGAATGTTAATGTATTATGGAATATTTAAGAGTTACACTACAGTCATCATAGTCTAATAACAAATTACACGTTCGACTGCAATCCAACGATTTTTTTGATTAGGGGGAAAAATTTTTGCTAATAATAATGGTAAACGTTCAGCTTGGCAGATTTTGCGGCTAGAGTTACCAAAGGCTAATGAGAATAGAGCCGAATGAATGGAGGCAACAACAACATCATAGACAAATACAAGCCACACAGACGCTTTTAAAGATGGAGAAAAGGAGCGTAAAACTACGTACATAGCCATCGATGCACCGACAGACTCGACTGGGGGACTCACAAGATCAAGGATTTGCACATGAAATGGTAGCGGATGGATCAATGTCTGAAGAGAAGAAGCAGCCAAAGTTAGATTTAGCTAGATCTGGTATCGAAGGTTTACTGTCTAACAAACACCCCTTGTCCAAAAGACTGGAGTGTACCGCAAGTTAGTTATTAGCACGAAGACATCGAATAAGGTGGTGAAAACTAACCTATTGATAAAGCAGATACGTAGTAAATTAGAGTAAAAAGGGATAAACTAGTTAACCTTTATTTGTGGAGGAGTAGTGGTTGCATTCGCAGATGTCGTATCTGTGTGGTTCCTCTCCAATGACTGGGTCTTCATATAAGAAGGTAACAAAACAAAACAAGTCAACACACAACTAAAGCAACGGCAAAAAGGACAAATCGATGCCTTTCAAATCCACCAACCTCGTTACTACCATTTGATTGCTCCAAAACATCAGGCAAATTAACTTTGTCCCCCATTGCTTTGCTATCACCGGAACCGAAGAGATTCGAAATTCCGTCCGCGAATTCTGAGAAAAGGAAACACTTGCAATAAAAGATACAGACATTCTCTTTGGACTGTGTGTGTAAACAACAATTAGAAGGATAAAGTTTCCCTTTTTTAGCGTAGGACCACCGAGAGGGCAGATTATTTACGAGTGGATGGCCTTCTCAAATGAGGCACCAGTCCATAAAAACGATGGCCAGAGATGTGCAAGAACTGTAGACAAATAGCTACTTTTGTTGACTAAATAATGTAGTTTGAATCTCTAGTGCAAACCGTCGCTCAAGTTCTCAATGTGCTAGAAATCGCCGGTTTACAGAAACAAACGACTATTTGAAATGTAAGTGGGGTGTGGCAAAGAGGGCATGCAACACAATTGACTTACTATTTAGCCAGCGGAATGCTAGAGATCCAAACAATAATAGGCGAACTCTCTTTCAAGAAGAGCAGTGAGAAGAAATATGGCCAAATAGGCCAGAAAGATGGATGTAAAGTTGCAAAACGTACTTTTAAGGGTGGAGGGAGTACCATTGCTTTTATTTTCTGGTCCTCCATGAACCATGATGAGGTTGACCTCGGAGAGCTGGAGAATACCGCTAGCATCCAATTCCAGATGAGTTTTGACTGCTTGAGGCGAGTGTCCACTCTCCTCAAATTTCTCCATCACTGAATTCACGTTAGAGATACTCACATTCATAACCGCCTCGGCTCCGTTAAGGTATCTAGAAGATAAAAAAAGTGAGCGATAAAACTTGTGACTCCAGATACAAATTTCGGTAGAAAAGTTGTCGCTAACTAGCCTGGAGAGATTTTCAGACGCCTCGCCGTAGTGAACCTGGAAGAATATGTCTTTCTGTGGTCGAGGAAATTTAATATTGCGCTTTTGTGGAAATAGATTCCCTGCAGGGAAAAGGAGGCGAGTGACAAGTTCGCCCTCAACAAAATCCGTGCCATTGTCAGCAGAGAAGCGTGGTAAGGTGACCTTTACAAAGAGCACGAAAAATGAATTCACCACAAATTATAGGCCTAACGAAAAAATAAGATTTACTTACAGCCAGCGGATAACGATTTGAACCGCGAAGGACAACTTTTTTCACCAGAAAACCGCGAGTGTTGGAGGCAGCCTGATAAATTGCGCCCATGGCTGCCGCCTCGTCAGAATTCACGTTCTTTCCCAGCGTCTCCCTTGAAGAAAGTGGAAAATAGATTGTACCTTTCATAGCAAAAGCGGTGATAGCCTATAACTACAACAAAGTAACTTTTCAACGGTGACTCTAACAACCGAGGATGGCAATTTTCAGCCTACATTTATCCAACTAGAACAGAAGGAAAGCTGTATGGAGTAACAAAGTGGAATAGCAGAACACATTTCACGAAAGCACTTTGTAATAAATTCAAATGTCGCTTTATGCCTCGCATACTCTAATCAAAACAAATGCGAGCCTGTACCATGATTTTAACGTAAATGGTGGCAGTAAATTGGTAAAATTTGCCAACTGAGTTTTGTGGTTCAAATAAAAACAATCTTACATTGTTTAGTAACTTCTGTCTCAGCAAAGCGGACCAGACATGAATGCCTATCTGGGCTACAGACCACTCTGAAAACTACCCGAGAGATAGCGGATGATGTGGATCACTCCAAGCCAACCAAAATAGAGCCAACACCGGACAAGTGATAGCACCCACATGCCGAGTCAAAAAATGCAATGAGGTACAAATGAACATAATCTTGGCGACAAAAAGTGTTGCTCAAACATAGCTGAGAACGATGAGCGCGTCGTATTCAGATAGGTCTGTTCCTGACCATAACTGCAAATCGCCATTCAGATCGACGTGCCGATCTCAGTAATGCTTCGTGAGAGAGGAAAGCCATAGACGCAGCCAAGCGTCTTAAGATCTATCAATCATTAGAACATGGTTTGCATGCATTTTAAAAGTCGGTGACTTAGTAATGAGTCGCACCGATATTCCAACTTCGTTTAAGCGAATGAGGACGTTTTAACTATCTTCAAACCGTCCACGCACTGATGACCCGACGTATCTAGGACATGCACCAAGTCACACTTCAAGAAAGTTATTCCTTACCTGCTTGTGCTTGTATGTGCATGGTTGATTGTAAACAGGTATGGAGAGCAAAGACCGCTCAAATACATCTGCAAAAGGTGGTATAACTCAAAGTCTGAAGGATCTTCCATCGAGAAAGGGGCATAGTTGGTCAACCAGTTAGTGGAGAGGTTGTTCCCACAGAGATATCGTAGGCCTTTGTGGGGCTTAGCCATGAAAAAAGCTACACCCTGAGGTGAAATGGCGGAGGGCATTTCAGTCCCTGTATATTAATTTCCAGATTTATGGCATATTTTTCAGAATGAACGCTACTTTTCTTGGTACTAAACAAACAGAAGCAAAAGAGGTTGCTGGTAGAGGTGCATCGACAAATGAGCTCATCAGCTCCGAATTGGATAATTCTAGAAGTCAAGTATTTTAGGAACGTGAAGTTAATAGATTATGAATGTGGGTATTTATTATTATCATTATTAAAAAAAAAACACGCTGGCCCACATAAATGCTTTGAGTAGACTCAATCGTTAGAAGGTAAAATGTCAGCGAAACAGATCTACGCAAATCTCTACATTCGAAGAGAGAAATAAATGATAGCTCTGATTCTTGCAGAATATGACATCAACTCGCAAGTTGATGGCACGGCTTAAGTATGCCCAAAATGAACAAGTACAGCATAAATGAACCTTATTTCAAATTAATTACGGTGATAGCCTCCAAGCCAATTCTTCTTTTCCAAGTAATTTGAAAAGCGAAAGTCGAAGTGAATGAGAAATGGGGGACGACATTGGCAAACATAAGTTGAGCACATACTATGGTTCTACATAGCAGAGGACCATAAAAAACACGTTTCGTATTAGGTTCAGATAAAAGATTACATGGAGTAGAGCCCTAAACTTTGGGCGAACTTAGCGGTACTGAAGTAAAAAGATATGAACGTACATTTTAGTCGCAGAGAGGATGGCCAACTGCATGATGGGAATACGCGAACCGCCGCCGAAGACGATGACTTCACGAATGTCAGACAGCGCAGAGGCGACGGATGCTGGGGAGTTGGCGGCAGCGTCCAGTGCCGCTTGAAGGACGGAGGGCACCCGCGCCACGAGATCTGCGCACATAGCCTCCAACTCTAACCTTGACACCTTTAAGCGTAGGTCGAGACCATTATACACTTCCTCCACCTAAGACACAGGGTAGAGGCGACGACAATGAAGACATCTTAGCGATAGAGAAAAATACTGTAAAATATGCGCAGACCTAAGCCCGATAATATGATGGCTTTTAGTCGCTCAACGTAGTGGACGACAACCTACCTTGCCTTCAAAAAAAA